AGCCGTCGGCTCTGAGCTTGACCTTCATTATCATCGACCACTCTCCATAGTTGGTGCGAGTCAGTGTTGGCCAACTGGTGCCGCTGACCTCCCGCACCGTGCGAACAATGACCTCCGGTCGTGGCTGGACAGCCACAGCAGTGCCACTGCTGTCGCCCATCTCCGAACCGTTTATCATCGCCAACGGTTAGTCCGACGATGGCGCTTGTACGGCTCTGATACCACTTGTTAGCCCACAGGATCACCGGCTCAAATGAGTCGACCACTCACCGGTCTTGCCGACCACGGCCGAGCACGACCGAGGCTGTCCGACCACACACACTATGGCTCTAGGTAGAAGAAGGGGGAGAACAGAGCATACACACACGGCAGAGACACCAGTGTTGGCCGAAGGTCTGTATAGGAGATAGCAAATCTGAACTCTGTTTGTTGAGTTGCAGTGGCAAACTGTATATATAACTCTATCTATCTAGTCCTAGTACAGCTGCTCTGCTGCAACAGTGACTAGATAACATAGCAGGACTGACTTCTGCGCCTGTTCCTGCATGTGGCTACAGTCCGGCAGGTGAGCCGTTCAGCTCCTGCCTCTACAGCGGCTACAGTACCACAGCAGGGAGTCAGTTCGGCGTCGTCTTCTCTTGCTATGTGTTCATACAAGGAAGCAGTATATTATGTAATAGGTTGTACGTGTGGGTTAACAAAGAAAACTCCTAGACCAGCCGTTCTTGGTGGTAGGGATGGGTGGTCAGGTGTTGTCGAAGCATCTGCATATAGCACCTGACGCCAGGTAAGAGTGCAGGCGTCTGGATTGTGTACCTGTTCATCAATGGTATGGTGCAGCCGTGTGTGTAACAATCGGGCTGATCCATTGCTGCAAAAGAAGGAACCATATCTGATGCTATTTGGCCATCATTTTATGGCTCTGTATTGTCCCTGTGTAGGAGTTCAGTTGTAAACTGAGCTGTGCTCTGCTGGATATTAGATGGTAAAAAGGGTAAACACGAAGTCTGCGGTTCAGTGTGTCATATGCTCCTCCTGGGTGGTTGAGTGTGTTCCGTCAATGCCTGCATCAGTAGAAGAAATACCTTGGTTTGGAGTGTTGAGGCTATTGTTGTCTGGCCTGGATGGAGTGGTTGCCCTGACCCCTATGTCGCCCTCAGCTAGTTCCCTGGGAGGCAAGTTGCTGGTGTTGTTCATCTGTGGCACCATGGGGGACGCTGGGTTGCTCCAGATTGTGCACCTCAGCAGTAGCCGTGGTCGGGCTGGTACCTGCAATCTGATTAATCATATATATTGTAGTTGTGGTGGCTGTGTGTCGTCCCCAATCTGTTGGAGGAGCCGTGGAGATGGGCACCGTCTCCAATCCCATGGTGAGTCCTGTTGAGATTTGGGTAGGTTGTTGTGTTGGTGCTGGCCAACCAGTAGTGTTTGCAGTTGACTGTTGCATGTTCCTGTTCGTCGATGAAGTAGGTAGTGAGTCTGTGCCTCGAGGTTGTGTTTCCTGTACTCAGTCCTATTTGCTCGTTGATTTTAGTCAGCCAACAGTATTTTTCTCTCACAACAAACCAGTACCAGCCGAACTTATCAGCCTAGAAATCAACCAGCGAACAGACTATGTCTGTTGGGTGCTCTGCCATGACCTGGTGTACCTGACATGGAGTCCAGGACTTTCTCTAGGATCGAGTGTCATTCCTGGTCTTCCACAAATACCACGTAGTGGTTAGAATATTATTAAATAAAGCATCAGAAATTGAGTTGGAGACAAATGGCCTTGTTCGCTTCGCTGAAAAAACAAGCCAAAACACTGTTCTGTCTGATTTGTTGTGAGAGAAAAATATTATTTCGGTTAAAAAAACAAGGTAAAAAATACGGATTATAAGAGAAGTGAACAGGGCCAAAAGCCTAAAGGGTTAATTGCACTCCATCATTTTCCTGGGGAAGGTTGTCAGTGCGTAGAGAGGGTTCAAAGGAGAACCAAACAGCCCGGGATAGATGGCAGTGGAAGAAAAGGTGAGTGTCGTCCTCCACTGCACCACAAGATGCACAGTGTTTGTCGATGTGAGTGGAGTACCTTGCTGCTCTATCAGTAGTGAGGGATCTTCTTATTTGTCTTCAGGTGAAAGCTTTGATAGTTCCTTGCTTCTCCATGCTCTCTGCAAAATGTTGTTTGCTTGAGGGTGAATGCTTCTAGATCCTTGTTGTGGAAGCTAAATGAGCTGCTTATTACTGAGGTGCCTGTAGATGTTTTTAGTAGTGCATTGACCATTCTTGGCGGGTGTCCATCTTAAGACGTCCTGCTGATCGCTGGGGACAGTCTGGACACTAGTGATTGCCTGTACAGCCTGATCATCAAAGATGTTAGCTATAAGGTCTAGATTCCAAGAATGAGAGCTGGGGATCCAAAGATCAGAGACTGTAGCCGGCAGGGGGAAGTGTGTTACCAGTAAAAGCATATGGTCATGAATAGAGTTCCATAAAGGACACCAAGGGGTGGACCAAATGGAACTGTTACCTGAATGGATTTGGTAGACGGAGTTTGTGCAAAGGTCCGTTTTTACCTGCAAAATAGAAGACCAGAAGATGGACCGAGACCCATTGGTGTTAGCTGTCTAGAAAGAGGTATTGTGGTAGTTATTTAGCCTTGAGGACTGAGGTAAGAAGAGGATTTTTGTTGGTAGCTATGTTCCAAGCAGCCTGGGTAAGAAGGCTTTTATTGATAGTGTTGAGGTCCCTAATTCCAAGTCCACCATTTTCCTTAGGCTGGCAAGGCGATAGGAGAGGTGGGGTTGTCATTCTGGACTTCAGCCCACCAAAATCTTCTGATAATGGCATTGATTTTACGTACTAAAGTCTTAGAAAAAAGTACAGTAGACATGTAGTACACCAGAATCGAAGCCAGCACAGATTTGATGCAAGTGAGTCTGCCTGCATGGTTAAGCTTGTTAGCTTTAACCGTGGTTAATTTAGCTCTGAATTTGTTAAGAATGAACTCATAAGATTTGTTACTGTCATTGTAATTGAAAATGATTAGGTGGCCAAGGTGCATAGTGCTAGGGAGGAGGTCAGGGACAGGGAAGATGTCCCTGATTTGGGATTTGGTAGAACTAGGCACATTCTTACTGAAGATGATAGAAAATTTCTGGAGGTTGGGGAGCTGACCAGAAAGATTACAGAAAATCGTGCAAAATAGTACGAATGTTGGTGGCCTCACGCACTGAGGCAGCCCCACAAAGAATGAGATCATTGGCCAAAAGGAGGGAGTGAATGGGGGGGGGGCAGCCAGGACCAAGGGTGACACCCCGAGAGGTTAAAACTGAGTAGTTCATTCTGAAACCAAATAGAGAATTCATTAATGGCAACAACAAACAGATAGGACGAAAGGGGACAGCCTTAGTGGATACCTCTCTGGGGGAGAAAGAAGCAGAAGGCTCTCCATTCACGAGAATAGAAAAAGTAGGAGTGGAGATGCAAGACCGTATGAAGTTGGAGTGCAACCCCAGCCGACTGAGAGCAGAGGCAATGAAGTCCCAGACCAAATGATCAAAGGCTTTAGCATGGTCAAGCTTAAGGAGGAAAGCCTGCCGGTTCCAATTCTTGAGGGTAAAGGAGTGGACTGTTTCCTGGGTGATAAAAATATTGGAAGAAATGTGCCTATTATTGATGAAAGCAGCTTGGGATTGATCAATGAAGGTAGGGAGGTGAGGCTTAAGCCTATCAGCCAGGGATTTAGCAATAACTTTAAATAACGTTACAAAGACTAATAGGTCTAAAATATTGAGGCAAGACATGTTGCATTTTCTTAGGAATTAGAGCAATAAAGGTCTGGTTCAACTCAGGTCAAAGAAAAGCAGAGGTGTAAAAGTCGCATACCAGACTGTGAATGTCCTATGATACCCAAGGCCAGGCGGCTTTGTAGAATGCCACATTGAGACCGTCCGGGGCCGGGGAGACATTGTTGCGCATATTTTTGATTATGCTGTGAAGTTTGTGTGCATCAGGGAGTGAATTGGTGAAGTTACCATCGCGTGCTCCTGAATCTGTGTGCAGAGGAATGATTAGTAGCCCGAGCAATGGTAGTGGTAGAATCAGAGTTGGGGGTGGCAGTGGTAGTCGTTTTGCTAAAGATATGCTGAAAATAAGCGGTTAGAGTATCAGCTAACTGCTCAGGGGTTGTAGAGTGGGTGCCGTCAGGATTCTGCAGGTAAGAAATTCTATTTTTCCTATGCCTTTTGGTGATGGAAAGATAGGAAGAAAGTAGTATTACGGTCTCCTTGAGTAGCCCACTTTTTCTTGGCTCGCTGAAGGTGGAATTCCTCAGCTTTGGCTAAGAGCTGGTGGTGCTGGTGAGTGAGATGAAGACAAAGGAAAAAGAAACTCACAAGTGACAATGTTCCGTACAGTGCACTCTAATTTTCCACCTCCATCCATATGAATTGGAGTGATTGAAGTGCAGCCAAAAAATATCTCAGTTGTCGACTGAGAAAAAAAAATCAAGCATCTGGGAAACATCTCCCATGATACAGAGCACCACTTCCACATCCATCTACGAACTAGAGACCAGAAATATCATGACCACCACCATATCTTAAGTTAGCCAAGACCCACATCAAAATCACACAAAACATTCCAAGGCAGACATGGCCAAGCCGCACACCGTGCGGCACGAACAAAGATACCAGTAATTTCCTCCTTTTCTCATGTTTCAACCACCCCAACCACCATTAGTCGTTGACTCGTTGCTGAACAAAAATTAGCAGTGACCCAAGTCCCAATCAGAGAAGACCGCCTCCCCATTCTGCCGCCACACCCAAAAACATACATTACTTACAATAGGGCAGGCAGACCAAAACGAAATGAACCCAGAGAAAAAAAATTAACCAACGCATTAGATAGAGAGAATGAACAAAATTGAATACAATCATACACCACCCGCTAGCAACTCCACACTGAGACCAAAAACAATTCAGGCTTCTTCTATCTTCTTGCTGTCTTCCTTGTATCTACATGATGAAGTATGCTCGAATCACCTCGATTATGGGTGCGCGGCACAGCGGGCATTTCCCTCCACCTCGAACCAATTCGTTCGCACATTTTGAGCATGTGCACATGTGCCCACATCTGATCAGTAATAAACACAAAAAAAAACAAGTTCACAGCTACTACCAACATATAGACTATGAGTCAACACTCCCATCCAATAAATAATAGAACATTGTTAATGTGAGCCAAACCTGTACAGAAGGGAGTCAATTGGAGTCTCACAGCATATGCAGCAGGTCCCTTTTCTCACATTTATCCATTTCGAACCATCGTTAATTATTTCTTTACTTTCACCACCTGAAATATCAATTACACATATAGGTGGGATGTATGGAAAGTGAAATGCAATACCAGTACCATAAATGCAATACCAACTCAAGTACGACATAGCTACGTACATTATCAACTTAACTAGTATATAATGCTTCCCTGGATGCAAATCAGCATTCCATAATATCATAAACAAGTGCTGTGCAATCCAATGGAACACAGATATAAGTAATGTGTTTGGGGTACCTTATTATCCTAAACTATGTGCCAATTTGAAACCATAGTCCATAGCATAAGATGTCCAACACCCTAGCTATATGTTTCAAATAAGAATAAGCTATAGTTAGCATTTTGCATCTTATGTTACTATGATTGATACACACGGCTATGCCAAGACTCAAGAGGTCAGTCATCAATGTTACATTGCATAAGGAATTAAGAATGCTCAAAATTGCTTCCCTGACTTTTTCTCAGTTCAAACAAGTAACAGCACTGTAGGAAATGTAGCAAACATGACCATGCTGATTTACTAACCTTGCTCCCCAATAAAACGATTCAAGGCTGCTGATACTTCTTGCCTTACAGAACGCTGCAACTCTAGCTGCATATCCATGCAAGCTTCCAACATCCTTTGCATATGGCTCATGCCTTGCTGAAGTCTAGCCATATCAGCTCTTAAATCATTGATGGCCTCCCATTCCTGGACAGAAAAAACAAAACAAATATGAGCCTTTGCCACACATAACATATAAGCTATTCCCCAAAATTAATATAAATAGAAGAGTTGAGTGCATTAGCCTACTATAAACACAGCCTACCAAATATGGTTTACAAATTCACCATAAACAACAAATGTATTGTATTCCAAGCACCAAAAAGATGAATTGAGCAAAGTAAAATATTAATGTACATGTGGTAAGGATATCAATGGCAATAGCTCACAATATCAGAAGATGAACGATGAATGTTTTGTCTGATCCAATTATTACGATGCAACTCTGAATGCCAAAGTGGCTGACGAGGAGGCATAGGTGGAGGTGGTATCACTAAAGGAGGTCTGTTGACAGTGTTCTGCAGTTCCTGGTCCTCGTCATCTCTTTGCTGCTCCTGATTTTGATCTGGTGAGGGAGGGGCAGGAGTTGTTCCTTCCAGATCCCAAGGGAGAGGACCACGACCTTGCCGTTCAACATATGACCGGATAAGCCGGTCCAAGTTTTCACGAAAAGCACTGTGAAGAAGATTAGAAACGCTCCTTCTGCATAATCAAGACAATTTTAGTATTTATACAAACACCAAATAAATTGCTTGTAACAACTTTCTTTAAGCAATAAACAATAACCTGCTTAGAAGTTCCCTCAATTCTGTGCTGTACACATTATCATCATCCCCAGGGATGAATGTATTAGCTCTTCTAATAAGAGCAGCATCGTGGTCAATTGGTTGGTCAGAATTATTATCACGCCAATTGTCTGCAGTATCATTAGACTCGTCATCATTATGCCACTCTTCATTTACTTCAGGGAGATGATCATCACTCTGCCACTCATCATAGACTTCAATAGGACGATCATCTCTGCTCCATTCCCCATGTGATTCCTGAAAATGATTATTGTCATGCAGCTCTTCAAACACTGCAGGAAGATGATCACTGTCATGCTGATCTTCTTGCGCTTCAGGAAGACTACCATCGCTGATGGACTCTTCAAGTCCTTCAGGAAGATGTTCAACACTGGTTGATTCTTCATTTGCCTCTGGAAGATGATCAGTATTATCCTCTTCAACTGCTGTCCCCTCATGAGAAGAGATGTTGTCTGCATTTTCATGCCAACTTCTTTCAGATTCCTCTCCAATCACAGCATGGGAAAATTGTTGCCAGTCTCTTCTCTCATGTTCTAAATCTTCCTGACTTTCTGCTTGACTATGAGATCCACAGAAGACTTCAGCAATGCTAGGGCTGCCACTTTCAAATCCTGATGTTGTTGCTGTACTGTCAATTTGCTGAAGTGATATTCTCACTTGTCCGCTCATGTCTCTCCTGAGTAGTTTCAGGTGGTCTTAATTCAGAACGATCATTTGTAGATAATTCAACATCGTGAGCTGAAGAAGCATCCACTTGGCTATCTGCTTGACCACGGACAAGATTCTCCAATCTGAAGCGGAACTCTTCTCTAGTTATTAAAATTAATGAGTATTATTATTTTACTTAGCACATGATGAAACTCAGCGGCATTACAAGAGTACATTTTAATAGCACTAACAAGATCTGTCCATATAGTAAGTGAATGCACCAGCTTGCGATTGCTAAATGTGATCAGAAGAGAGAGAGGGTGAATAAGTAGATAACACAAATAATCAATAGACTAGCTAGCTAACAAGTTGATATAACTAACTGATATGTTAGGTCCAAACCACATATTAAAGAATGTAATCACGTCATCAGACTAGCCGTGGTGTAAACGAGTCACAGGGCCTGTTTGGTACAGCTTATAAGCTGCTTATGGCCAAAATAAGCTGAAATCAACAGCCAAACGCCACGCTTTTCTGCAGCTTATTCTGGCCACGCTTATTTCCACCACTCCCATTTGTACTAAAAAGCAGAAGCTAGATCAAACCAGCTTATTTTGACTTATGCAGCTTATTTGGGAAGCGCTTCTGAGATAAGCTGTACCAAACAGGCCCACAGAGCTCTTTGTGATGTTGTGATCGTTTCTTTGTGTCCATTAATCAGTGGAAGTGGTAAAGTCTAACAGTGGGATGGATGCAATTTCATTGCAAAAGTAATAAAATTTGGGGTCACCCGCTGTGGAACAAAAATATATCTCCATACTAGCAAAATGAGCTACGCATTTATGTGTCTTACGATAAAATGACACCATGCGTCAAATATGGCAAGGAGGTAATAAGATAGTAAAATGGCTGAATAGCTCTCAAAGTTGCAAACATTTACGAATAGAACTCTGGTGTTCTTTTAAACAAAGATAAAATCAGTCTTTGCCTACATTATATTTTGACATAACAAACAACCAAAATAAGGCTAGAGGAACTGATGCACAAGGATGCTATGATGATTAGCACTTTGGAGTTAGAAATGAATAATATGAGCAACAATAATCTGAAGTTGAGCAGTGACTGCTCGGTGAATTAAAGTTTACGTTACTAACAACACAAGCTTTTTATCCTTTATCAGCATCATATAAAGTACAACACTTATTAAGTTATCATCTTTTATGTGCTACCAGTATCTTTCTGCTTCTTGAGGCCAAACATTTGCAAACTAACAGAAAAGCCAAGTGCAGCAACAGCTGAGGCAATATTAAGCATCATGAACTCCTTAAAGATGTAACCCCTCCAACTACATCAAAATGTAGAACCATTGATCTAGCATACAAATGCATTTATCCCAACAGAAAAGATAAGAAAAAGAACCTATATATATCCATTAAGCAGCAGAAACAGCCTCAACATTCTTTTCTCAGCACGCGAGCTGACACATACCTCAAACCAGAGACAGGATGACGTTGTCGCAGCTGACCAAGCTCCCTTGCGGCCACAGATGGGGGTCTCCTCTCCTCCGGCAAACCGCCGTTGCGCAGAAACCGACCCCGGAGCAGCGCCTGCAGTAAAGACGGTAATTCTGATCACGTCAGTCAGATATATCTGACAAATGCGAAGTAGGACACTATATTGTCACAGGTAATGGAACAGTGAGTTGAGAAAAAAAGAAGCACCGACGTGGATTCTGTTGCGGTGCGGGAAGTCGGAGACGGCACGGTGCTGCGAGAGGCGGTGGAGCTCGGCTTGGCGGTCGGCGGCCATGCGCATGACGAGCTCGAGGCGCGCCTGGCGGCCGCGGATCCGGGGAGCGTCCCTGCGCGCGTGTTCAGGGACGGGGGACGGTGGGGGCCCAGCGTCGTCGTCGCGGTCGCGGGCAGCCATGTGGACCCACTCCCTGACGAGGCGCACCCGGTCGCGCTCGATCTCGCGGAGCCAGGAGGAGGACGAGGAAGAGGAGGCGCGCGAGATCTGCACGGCGGGCGCGCGGCGGAGGAGGTCGGGGGAGCCCTCGCGGCTGGATCCAGCGTCCCAGTCGCTGTCGCTGCGGGGCTCCGAGGGCTCACGGCGGCGGCGTGGGGTCATATCGATGTCGGGAACAAGGGGAGCTGGGGCTGGGGCTGGGGCTGGGACGTCGCCCATCGCCACCGTCCGCGATGAGGCATGGGGCGGCGGGAAGCTGCTGCTGATTGGATTGGGTTGGATTGGGCTAGAGCGAAGTCAATCCCCACCCCACCAGAGTCCCAGCATCGGAGGAGACGCCGACGGAGGGGAGAAGGTGGAGTCGAGGCAAGTCCAATTCCCTTCCAACGGCGAGACGACACCACTCGCCGCGGGTAAAGGGTTTTCCATTTTCCATTTATTTTTTCTTTTTTTAAAATATATAGGATAAGCAATTCTGGAGGGAAACTTAAATTCTAAAACTATTATTATGTTTATTATTGTTGTGCCTATTTAGATACTCAATCCAGAACAGGCCAGTCCATGTGTCAAAACAATTATTTAGACCTCCACTCTAGTTCTCTAAATTTTATACCTTATAAAATTGTGATTATAATATGAGAAAAAAAATCTCGAGTTGGCCATCCTTGCTCGATAGCCAAGGAACCAAATACTAAAATGATTAGAATAAACTTCTCTAATATATAGTTTAGCTAGACTTAAACAGTGACTTAGACAAATCACAGTTTGGTGCCATCGGCTAGAGTTCTTTGACATTCCACAAAAAAAATATCATATTTGCATCCAAAATGAGTTTTTAAGCGTACTTGATACGTTTTTTTTATAATTTATCTGTCTAGAAAGTTCTAACTTCAACATAGAAAGTTCTATTCAGCCTGTTCGCTAGTTGGTTTCTGGGCTGATAAGTCCAGTTGGTGCTGGTTTGTTATGAGAGAAAAACACTGTTAGCTAGCTGATAAGCCCTGGCTGAAACCAACAAACGAACATACTGATTATGTGTGCGTATAGTGGTGGAGCTTAGTGAGGACCATTAGTGAACCTCCTCCCCTAAAAAAATTATTAATGTATATCTTAGTTTCATCACTTTTAAGTGATAATGATATATTAATCTGCCCCCTCCTCCTATATTTCATACCTCCCCTTCAATTTTATCGGCCAAGCTCCGTCATTATGCATATTTATACAATTTACTGTATTTGGTGCACCATCCTGCATTCCTACACTATCCTCCCTGCCCACATACAACTGGAACATTAAATATTGTGCTTCCATAATTCTAAAGCAAGAAGTGTAACTGACTAAGTCATTTTCTCTGTTGTTTCCCCACTTGCTCGAGAGAACAACTCCACCGTACACCCATAATGCTAATGTTTTATAATATGAAGTTCAAAAAAGTTGATATTTTTATATGTTATATTGATTCCATTAAATTATCTTAAGAAGACTATCACTTTTGTAATGGAAAAGGGTTGAGGCCTAGTTCGAAAAAATAAAGATAACAAAATCATCCACAAATACTACCTAAAGAAGTCATACAACTTCAATTGAATCCAAAAGTGCGTATCCACACACTCAAATTAGGTCAAATCAAATATATTAATTAAGGAAAAATGCTTTCATTCAACAATGATAAGTATTTTCTTGTTACAATGTCTTCCGTCCCTGAAGAAAAGTGATGAGACATCGAGAGCTTGTAGAATATAGTTTCACATAGAGAGCAAGTATAACATACCCAAAGTTATGTGTGGAAACTACATCCACATATTTATTTATTGGTATATCAAATGAATTTGATAGATTATGATATATAAGTTCTAATGAACTTCACATTATGATTTTAGATACAAAATTGTCATATTGTGTAACCAAGTCACACCATAACTCAAAAGTTCAAAAGTCAAAACACTCAAATTGATTTGTGATACAATTTGAGTTCCTTCCATTCTATAGCCACTCCGATTATGATTGCCTATTGTGACACCCCAGTGTTACATCCCTGTTTAACAATAGTTTAAGGCTTAATAAAACCTAATAAATAAGTTTTCTATGTTTGGTGATTAATTCTTGCATGAAATGATACGATGCATGTTTGTTTAAATCACCTTTGTGAATATAGTCAACATGTGTGATGTCAACCAAACTTGATTTGTGTGCTTAAACGTCGCTAAATCGACTTGTGAACAAAAGTTATTTAGGGTTTATGCTGGAAAAATGTGAAGGAAATGCTTAAAATGTCAAAAACCCTAATTGATGTTAATTGCTTGATAGCTTGTTGAAGGCTAAATAAATAAATAATATATTAATAAACTCTGAAATATGTCTGTGTGAAAAACTTAGTACAAGTTATGAACTTTGTGGTAGGGTACTTGTTTGTGCCTAGTTTGATTGATTGATAGATTAATTAGTGCTTCAAAGTTTCAATAAAATGTTGTTTCCTAGGTGACTTAGAAAGTTTCTAAGTGCCAAGTGTTTTCGCTGACACTGCTAACTTTGTCCCTAATTACCCGCTAATTCATTGCACTAACGACCTAGGTCCCTTAAGCAAAGTTGGAGTTTGTTTCGAGTTAAAGATTTTTTGTATAGGATGTGGGACCCAAACCTTGACCGAATCCTCTGTGCGGTGCGTCAACGTGGGGCACATGGCCACTGTTGTCGCCATGCCCTGCTCTGTCCTCGCCGCACTTGTGCGTGCATAGGGGCGCCATGGCCGCCCATGCCCTGCTTGCGCTTGCCCATGCCGGCCGCCTGCCTGCCCTCGTACCTTCAAGTGGAGGCCGAGCTCCTCGCGCTGCTTCTCTCCCTCCCTGTCGCCCCATTGCTGTGTTGCGCCCTGCTCGCTCTCGCCGTGCCATGGCCGAGGTAGGCTGAGCTCCCCCTGCCACCGCCGTTTCCACCGCTCTGCCCCTCTCCGCACTCGACTGTCGGCACCACCGCCTCCTCCACGCTCCCCTCTCTGCCCCGCTCGCGCTCGCTGGAGCCCACGACGTCGGGAGCCACTGCGGCCCCTGCTCGGGCCACCGTGGCGTGGCACGCATGTGGCCATGCCGTTGCGCCCTACCCCAGCGCAGGTGGTGCCAGCCGTGGGTGTGCCGTGTACGCCCGGTTCCACACAACCCGTCCACGTCGGCCACCGTGCCTCACAGCACCGCCGCCGCCTGTTGCCTAGAGCCGGCGAGGCCACCACCACCATGGCTAGTGGTGTGCATGGCCAGCACGCCCCGACCACCTCTGGCCAGGACTCCGCTACCAACGGATGTGCGAGGGCCCCTTAACTGGGTGCGTAGCCCCGCTATCGTCATTTTCGACCACCTGGCTACCGAAGTCGGTCGAAGCGCGTCCGTCCTCTACTCCTCTGCTACTTGAAGAAGAAGACAGGGAAGAAAACGAATTAGAAACTCTTTTTTTGGGTCCAGATGCGAAGTACTAGTGTCGATATTTTGTAAACCAGACTAGTAAACTTATATGATTGTCACGCTGCTCTAGGAAGACGATGGTAGCATCCAAAAGACGTGAGGATTTATACTAGTTTAGACCAGAGCCCTACATCTAGTATCAGAGATGATTGAGTGTATGTTCCTCGTTTGAATGCTCTGAAGTTCTTACAATGGGGGGTGCAAGAATGGTGGAAGAGTTAGGAGAGCTAGAGCTAGTAGACGGGCTGCCCGAAGGAAAGCTTTAGGAGCCCTTCTATGGTGTAAAAATGAGTTCGGATCCCCAAGATGGGTGCTCTAGCTGCCCTTATATAGAGTTCAGGGCCAGGGCAAGCATAAAGCAGAAGGTTCTCCCGACCGAAGGGTCATGAGCCTGAGGGAGGACATAGCTAACTTGGCTTGCAAGCTACGCTGTCTTGTGGTGCATGTCTAGGCGTGGTTGTCATCATGGTCTTGTCGCTACGTCGCGGCATGGTATGACGTGGTGCTACTATGCCAGCCGTGGTGGCACTGTAGGCACGACAATGGTTGGCCAGCCGTCCTATGCGACGTGGTCTCTGTCGTGGTCTTCCTCATCGCCTCCTGATTTCCTAGGGGGTCATACAAGAGTTGGTAGCCGTCCCCATGTCATTGATCACCTGGTTGGCTTGTGGAGCTAATGGCCACGATCCCAAGCATTGGGGTCGTGGCGCCCACCGGTCTGGATGGCCTCTGAGTCAAGGCCTTCGTCATGGATCCCATCCCATAGTGGGTAGAATCATACATGCGTCTTGTTGGGCCATATTTGGTCGATGGGCACTGTACCGGCCGTCATCGCGTTGGGCGGTGTTGCCTTGTCTGAGCTGCGTGGTGCAGGGGTGGCGTCTGACTAGACCGAGGTGACTGTTGTCCCCTCGGTCCTTGCGGGGTCAGTGTGGCGTGCCTACTCTTGTTAGAGCAGGAAAGTTAGGCTAGGCTTGACCTCTCCCCATTCATCCCAGGGTCAGGATGGTGGATAGGTCATGCATCTCTTGCATGCCGTGCGGCTAAGGCAGAAGGAGGGGTCGTGGCCGACCCTGACCTTGGTGTCAGGCCTATTCCGCTTGGCTTAGCTAGGCCTCGGTCGTTCGGGCCTTCGCTGGCTAATGTGTCGTGGGCCGCTCGGCCTGCTAATTAATCGGTGCCTTGAGACACCCGGGGATTATAACCTTGACAGTAGCCCCCGAGCGTTTTTGCGATCATGAAGTGATCGTGGAAGCATTGTATTACATGCATATCGAATGCATGTTTGAGGTTCGTGGCTTGTTCAAGCTTCGTCACTCGACCCCTTGCGGGCTGGTGCGTTCAATGTGGTAGGTGGATATTGTGTTCCACCCCGTCAGGACGCTCTGACGATGTGGTATGTGACCACTGAGCTTTGTCATGTTAGTATGCTATGTATCAGGGTTCATGACCCAGGCAGGGCTGAGTGGTCTTGTCGACGCTGTATCAGCCTTGCCTTTGTGAGAGTCTCGATTTTCCTGACCTCACGCGGGCATCTGACATGGGCTATGACCTTCCGTGGTTCGCCATGCGATGCGGGGTTCTTAGGCTATTCATTATGTTCCTGGCCTATAAATGGGGGGCCTTTTCTACCGTTTGAGGCACCCATGGCCGTAACCATGAGTTGTTGTTTCGCCTCACTGAGCGGTTGAACATTGAGAGAGTGAGGAAAGGAGAGAATTTTGGGAGAGAAGTGTGAGGAGGATTGTGCCATTCCCGTGATGTGTC